AGTTCACCGCCCTATTCAATATTTCACTAAATTTGACCAAACCTGAGTTACAAGTTCATCTACGAAACGAGAAAAAGATGAATATATAATACTAAATCAATTGCTCTTCCCCTGTCAGTTTAGGCAATAGTATGTATATACAATAGTATGTAGTATAAACTATATAAATAGACGCCAATGTTTTCTTACTTTAGAAAAGAGATTACTGAACCAAATATGCCAATTTCTCTCAATAGTGCGAAAGGTTTTATAAATGTTATAATTAATAAACTTAATATACCATATATGTACATATATGTACAATGTATTATATGTACAATGTATATGTTAACGCATACACTGGTTTATATATCTAACTTGACACATATATGATAATTTCTAGTGGATAAAAATATATGCTTGGATTAAGGTAGCACATCAATAGATCAAATGACAATTTTTAATTATTGAAAATATATTTATGATGTATTATCGTAGTAAAAAATAGCAATGAATCAGCACGAATTTATTTAAAAAGTATTGCAAATAGTTTGTATTTTTTGCAGTTATTTGAAACCCTTTTGTAAGCACTGACTCCATAAAAAAATATAAAGCGATTTTATTTAATAAACAGTAAAAAACTAGTATTGAGGGAATTTAACATAAAAAAATAAAATTTAAAAATTAATTAAAAATAAATTCAGTCACAATTAATTTTATAACATAAATTATATTTTAAATGTCATTATAAAACTTTTTTTGGTTAAATTCAAGAGTTATGATTTAAGAAGTAAATAGAAGTGTGATTATGAAATTAAGAGTTTAATAGATCTTATAACCAGTCATTTGTAGTTTAAAGAACGTCAAAAACTCATTCAGTTGATAATCATATTAGTATAATTTTCTACCAAAAATTGGTCATTATGAAAATTTATGATTGCTTGACTAGCAGTCTCAGCTAATTATAAATAAGGCATTTATTCATAATGTGCCTATACTGTATACCTGTGGGGACGTATAGAATACAATTACTTTCTTGGTAAATTCAAAAAAAAATCGAATCGCTGTGTTCTCACGTCTAAGAATCGTACAAACTTTCATGTAACACAAGTACACGCTCTCAGGGAATTCTCTACAGTTTTAGTGGTGATCAACATATCACCACATATCATATCCAATAAAATCAATTGAACTTCAAAAAAATAAAATCAATTACTTCCTAAAAAGTCATTTTGACGTTAATATCTCTTCCTCTCTTCCTATCAGTAGACTCAGCAGATAACATCAAATGCACATTCAAATATCTGGTAGAAATTCACTACCTAAATTGCATTTAGAACCTTTCTTCCCAGACATCTCTTGCATTAATCTAACCTTCCTTAATTTTACTATCATATTAATGTTGATTGTAATACTTTGTTTTATTTGATCATTATTATTTTGTTCTTAAATTATAATTTACCTATTACAATAGTCAAAAACTTCTGCTGCCAGTACATTCTAGTCCCTTGGAAATGAGTAACACGTTTTCTAATATAAAAACTTGTAACTTTAAGTTCGTTTTTAAGTATTTGGACGATTATTTTCAACATATTCATCTGTGCTCCAATTATCTTCAACTGGAACGCAGATTTTGTTCAATTCAAAATTTCATTCAAGATAAAAAAGATTTAATTTTACCAATTAAAGTATTATATGGTTTTATTGATACCCCGTGATTTGTTCCTACCACACTTACTGGGCATTATATACATGAGTCATCCTTGGCTACGTCACATTGCCTTTGCCAGCCACCTCGATCAATTGCTTGTTGTCGCCACTTGGTAGTACCGAGCACCCCCAAATCGTTGATCTTCTGGTTCTTCCACCGAAGATGCGAATGTCCTCTACCGCGTTTTCCACCTACGGGTACCGAATCAAATACCTTTCTAGCCGGAGCACTTTCTTTCATTCGAAAGACCAAGCCAGCGAAGCCACTGAATTTTTATGCACTTAACTGTGTCAATGTCGCGATATAGTTCATATGTTACAGCTCACTGTTCCATCTAATTCTATATCCGTCACCAACGCGTAAGAGATTATAGATCTTTCGAAGAATTTATCTCTCGTATGCTCCTAACGCCTTTTTATCACTGTTGGTTTTTGTCCAAACTTCTGCACCATACAACAGGACAGGCATGATAATAGACTTGCAGAGCGTGATTTTTATTTATCGAGAAAGGGCTTTATTTCTCAATTGCCTACTTAGCCCGAAATAAAATCTGTTGGCGAGAGTGATTCTTCCTTGATTCTTTAGGCTGACGTCATTTTTGGTGTTTACGCTGGTTCCCAAATAAAAAAAGTCTTTCACAACTTCGAACTTATTAATTGTCAACAGTAACGTGGGTCCCAAGACGCTCAGGAGATTTGTTTATTGACAGAAAGTACTTTTTGTCCCATTTGCTTCGCATGTTTCCCTTAGTTGGAAAATGTCACACTGACGGCGCGGGTGTTTAGGCTAAAATTATAGGCATATACAAGCAACATTACACTTTTGTAGAATATTGTACCAGTGCGGTTTAAATCTGCTGCTCGAATTATCGATTCCAACATCAGGTTTCTAGCACTATCTTACTATTACAATTTAATTTAATAAATTGTAATAATTACAATTTAATAATTTTTATCCGAAAACAAATATGATGCGAATGCTTGTACTCACTTCTGAACAAAACAATGTTGCCACCGTTTTGAAAATCATACCAGTTCAATGTTGGTTGTAGTTCTGTTCAGTTCCTGCATAAGAAGATTTCTTCAAGATTTAAGTAAAAAATGGAATCAGAATATGATATTAAAATGAACATTAAAAAAACTAAAATTATTTTTTCTTTATCGGTGTTCTATTTAGACGAAAATCAATAAGTAATACTATCAATAAGTAATACTATCAATAAAATCAATAAGTAATAATAATATTAGTTATTACTTTTATAAAAGTAATGATAACATATTAGTTAGTAGTGAATGCAATTTGGAATATTCCTAACCAATAATTTAATCTAATTCTATGCTCTCTTCGATAACCATCCACTTCTAAAATTACTTGTACTTGTGTTAACATATGTATATATGAGCATAACAACATGTTTTACTAAAATTAAATAACCTAGTTAAAATGGAGTATCTACTCAAAATAAATTAAATGTTATTTATAAAACACTTAAGTTCTTGTTACCTAATTTTGTGCTATAAACAATATAAATCCTCAATTATTCAGATATCACGTTATCTAATATTTCCAATGTTATATAAATAAACCCTGAGTATGCTTGTTAAATCTAAATATATTGCATTAATCACTTTCTATTACCTTCCAATTAATACAATTGCGATAAACCACTTTTGTGCTAGTTTTTCTAACGAAAATGATAATACTTACTTTAGAGAAACTAAAGCAGAAACGATAAAAAATCGTTGAATATACAAATTATATTCTGTTCTATATATGTTAAACGTTTACGATACCTAAGAGTTACTGTCTAGTTTGCCTAGTTTGTCTAGCGCCAAGTTTTTCTAGTTGATCCGTAGGAGAAACCTATCCCGTATTCGAAATTTGCATCAAAAAATTCGAAAATTATTACTTAAGTACATATTTTTCTAGAGAAAATTTCATATATGTTATGAGGCCTTTTTCATTCTAGTTCTAGAGAGTTTTGAATAGTTTTGGGGTGAGGTAAACTTTCGAGAAAACGATAGTTTGGGTGATTGGGTTTTTATAATGTCTATTTAGAGAAAATGCGGAAATTATTAATTAAGCTAGAAGATTTTCTGGAGAAAATTCCATATATGTCATGAGGACTTTTTCAATCTAGTTTTCAAGATTTCAATAGTTTTGTCATGAGATAAACCTTGGAGAAAACAATAGTTTGGGTGATTGGGTTTTTATAATGTCTATTTAGAGAAAATTCGGAAATTATTAATTAAGCAAGAAGATTTTCTGGAGAAAATTCTATATATGTCATGAGGACTTTTTCAATCTAGTTTTCAAGATTTCAATAGTTTTGTCATGAGATAAACCTTCGAGAAAACAATAGTTTGGGTGATTGGGTAATTGGGTCTATTTAGAGAAAATTCGGAAATTATGAATTAGGCAATAAGATTTTCTAAAGAAAATTCCATATGTGTCATGAGGACTTTTTCATTATAGTTTTCAAGATTTCAATAGTTTTGTCATGAGATAAACCTTCGAGAAAACGATATTTTGGGTGATTGGACTTTTATAGGTAATGTGTATTTAGTATAGTTTTTTTTAAATGTTTTTTTTAAGACATTACTCGAACATTTTCGTTATTGAAATAGTTTTTTTATTTATTGCACTAATTTGTTAACAGACTTTATTTGAAGAATTGTCAAAATAATTTGTCTTCACCTGGTCTATAATTAATCGTCATCTTACAAGTGGAGAACTATCAAAGAATATTTTTGAGGTAATAAAATTTTTTTTTACCTGTAGTTTCGATTTATCTATATTTTTCTCAAAGCCTTCTCATAGACTTATTATCCACTAATGACTGACAGAGTTAATCAACAGAATTAAATGAATTGCTTAGTATGACAAATAGACACATTAAATGCATTTGAGATGCAAGTCACAGTGTACTAAACATGACTAAACGTTAGAAAGAATATAAAACGCGCTATTGGCAGTAAACACTGAAAAAAAATTTAAAATTTTAAAAATAGACACTGTAAACAGTTTGTTGAGTTTGGCAAAAATCCATAAATTAATACATATAATTCTTCAGAATATTTTTGCGGTTTCGAAGAATACAGAAAACAAAAAACTGCATAAAATTAGGACACAGAATCTTAAGTTCACAAACGAAATCACTTGAACCATTAATGCAAAAAATGTTTCTATTATTTTTAATGATAATGAAATTGAATGCAGAAATTCTAAGAAATAATCGTATTCTATAGAAATAATTGATGTATTAAATTAGTAATTAAAATTTTAAATGTGAGTCTTATTTTGCTTTCAGGTCATGTAAGCTCGGTAATTACGAAACCGACAGTTTTTTTGAACCGCGAATGTCACTATTGGGCAAACCTCTAAACTACAATCGCGGCACGCGCCGTGGTTTTCGGTACAGAAGACTACAAAGCCGTATCTACAACTTTCTGGAGAGGCCGCGCGGAATACCAGCAGTCATATATCATATTATGGTGTAAGTATGTGATGTGAATATATAAATTTATATTTCAATAAAATACGTACGAAAGATTAGCTTGTGAAAACGATCCCACGTCAAAGTTATTTTAAACTACATATTTTTGTAAGTTGGTAGTGATTTTGAGAAACACTTTTATCGGGTTTAACTTAATCACAATCTACTAAAGGTTTGTGTTGCTTGATAGTATTTAGTTTTGTTAAGTAATATTAAAGCTATAAAGATTGGATCAAATCGAGATACTGAGGTAAGATTTTGATACCAGTTTTCAGAGTTATGTCAAATATAACATAAGTAAAGGTTAAGCATGGGAATTGAAGAAGAATTAGAAATCAGCGAAGATTTATCTTTACCGCATTATAGAGTAAAAACTATTAACCAATTAAGTATAATATGTGCTTTATACTTAGTATTGTATTATTAGTTATATATAATAGATTAGTTGAATAGCTTTTTATGTTTCATTTATGCAAGATTCGGATTTTTTATAAAAATATATCCTCATTCGAGACCATACAAACATATCGACACTTTTTCAATAATTTGTGACTTTTTTAAAAAACATTTATCGAAACTTTAAAAATATTAGTCTATTTTCGCAATGACATTTATGTTTTATCTCATTTTATCCCATTTTTTTCCATATACCTACATCATTTGAAGACACAAGCTCTCTGGCTATTCCCTGGAAGGGGAAAAACAAGAGAAATAGTAATCCAAAGCGCATTTCGTAGAATATCATCTATTTAAAAACATTGCGACACCTTTTATTAGTGTAAGACCACTTCCTATTTTATCATAGGGATTTTTGTTAACAATTTCATCCTTCAAACGTGCCAACACAGATTGCAAAAAATATGTACACAACAATGTTTGTTAACACTTAAATTTTTAACAAGAAAACTAACGAGTAATTTTAAAGACCCCTACTTTAAGTTACATGACAATCGAATCATGCAACTTCTTTCGATAAAGTCGTCGAAGTAGGTCTGTGGTATTGAGAAGCCTGCTAGCTTCCTCACTCGTAATGCTATATTATATTTCCTTTTGATGATCGTTATTTTCCTTCTTAAATAATTGATCTATATTATATAATTCTACATTATCAATAGCATAACCTTTCCACCCAAATGCTCTATATTTGCACACATCACCAATTGCTATTCATTCAACTTATTGACGGTTTGGTTCCGGAGTACACAGATGAAACGAAGTTTTGTTCATAGTAACATAAAGTTATTCCTTTTATCTCGCTTAATTATATCTAATTTCCAATGTTGTTACTTTTAATAAACTCAGTCCAAACACTATATCCACTTTATTATTAGACGTCTCATGATCAAAAATGAAATAAGAAATGTATAACCCAAACATTCTTTGTATTATAGGTAAGACCTTTTCTCCTATTTCAATGTACTGTCCAATTAAAAACGATTTTATGAATTATTTTGTTGTTTTCCGGAATAAGAATATTATTTGAGTGAGTATTATCTGAATCTGAATGACCACATTTAAATTCAATATACCCAAGAAACGATGACTTATTTTCTTAGAGTTTCGAAAAGAATTATTAAGTTTTTTTTTTGCTTTAGTGATTTTTTTTGCCAAAAATCAATGTTGAATCAACTTTTTCTTATCTTTTCTTTTGAAAATAAAAGTAGTTTCACCACAACTACTATTATCTATCAATTGCTGTTTAGAAATATAACCAAATAATGACAATTATCTTTGTCAAATATTTTTTCATGACGTAGCATTTATAAATCGGGCAAACATTTTTCAGTCCAACTTATATCTATCATTATTATCGTAGGTTTATATAAACAATCTTCGATAGTTGTATAGAATAGAAAATAAGGCAGATATAGATCAAAAAGAGTAAACAGGAAAGTATTATAGTAGACCATGACACATGAAACAATTTCAAAGATATTCCAAAGTCAAACTCCGTTCCTACTTTTTAATATTTTTCAAATGGATATTCAAAGAATCTTAATTGAAAAAAAACTCATAATGAAGTTCTAACTTTTATTTGAAGATAAAACAAATATTGCTAAAATATTAGTCACCCATGTGATTTTAATCTCTTAAATGACATAACATGATTAAAATGGAAATGCATATGAAAACTGTTAAGGTGAATAACATAATTATCTCCATTTACAATATAATAGAAAATATATAATAGAATATAATAGATAATTAGAATATTTGTTTAAATTAAAAATTTAACTATAGTGAATTAAAACCAAAAAACAGACTTGGCATTTTTAAAGTTTCATTTATATTATATTATTTATATCCTTGATTACGTCCAGTACTCTCTGTCAGGCAGTCCAATCTATGCCTTGCTATCGCCAGTTGGTAATACCGAGCGTCCCCAAATCGTTGGGGTTTCACTAAAATTCACTAAAATACTGGATTCACAAAATAGCTTCTTGCAAGATTTTATTCATGTATTTCAAAAAACTGAAGACTAATATGCATATAAACGAATAGGTTGGCAAATAGGCAATAGATAGCTATTACTATATCTGTTCGTCTTGTTATCAATAAGGCTGGACCCTAGTGAAATTTGTCGGCGGTTTTGCACCTATCATTTAATTTCAAGTGTTTTTGTTTCTTATATACAGCTACTCCGTCCTCAAAAGCTGATATTGGTACATCAATTGCTCTGTTTTTATTCTACTTCAATTCCAATACAGACTGCGCCATTTTTAGGAATTTAAACGTGTTTCTAACCTAGCACTGTAGCTAGATATTTATTTAAAAGAGATTGCTGGGTAAGAGTGGAAATTTATGTAAGACCCATCCAAGTACTTCAAACATTCAATGAGTTTTGGTAGAAACAAATAAAAAGTTGAGAATTTATTTAATTGCACATACATTCCATAGATTCATTTTGGGAGAGGCTTTAGCCCTCTTTGAAAACATTTTTTTGTTCTATGTTTTCATCGAAACTTTAGACACTCCCATGCTCAAGTTGAAGATTCTAACTTTCCGTATACACCTATTATAAAGAATTTTAATAGATTCACCTTTTTGAATTATCTCGCACTCTCTCTTTCTTTCTCCTATCCTCATCCTCCAATGGACTATAGGGCCTCCAATTATAAATTACAAATAAACCAAAAAGACCAAAGTAGATCTGTAAAAGATAATCTTTGGCATAAACTCTGTTCTTTAACAAATCAAACCATATATATAGAGTCGTTGGTTAATACTTTCTTATTTTTTTATCACCCATCATCAGTCGTCTGGATATTATTTCTTATATTTCATTATTCGTAAATAATGTTTTGTGTTCATAAGAGCCAACTTTAAGCTCAAAGTCAGTGTTCATTAGCCAACAGACCCAAAACCGTATTTGATTTATTATAAACAAATTCGCTTTATTATGGATATGGAAAACGTTCTACTGTATCCTGTTGCTCTTAACAGAGTCGACAGAAATCGTTTACTGTTAGACCAATCTTTTTCAGATGGTATTACAGTCTACAGTGATATGTTAGCAGTCCCGTGTAGAGTTCGATATCTTTTTTGCTTAATTTTAGCACAGTTTCAGCCTTTATATGTTCAGGAATAATAAGCCGTTTTGATTGTTCTTTTGGGCTTTCCAGAAGTCAGTTAGAGTTTGTTTTTCTCTTTCGCGTACTAGGCTGATTTTGAAACTATTGTTAGCACTGCTTCCTTTTTGCTTCTTTTTTGACCAGGACATCCGCCCTTTTATTGCCTTCGTGCACCTCATGTCACGGTAGCCATAGCAGAGTCACAGAACTCTTCGTCTCGAAGATTATCCTTGATGTGTTATATTAGAACGAAATCATGAATCAACTGTAGAATAATTGAATGAATTATAGCTACCCTATTTTTTGTTGTGTCATTATTTATTGCATGATTTTATATTGTTTCTTCTTGTGTATAGAACATAATCCAGGAACGTGATACTAAGAAAGTCATATAACTCTACGATTCGTACAAGCGAGACTGTAAATTAAATATTTTTAATTTTATTCATATTTATTTTCATTATAATTCTATATTAAATTTGATTTTAACATCAGTTATTATAACAGTGACTATTTTACTTAATAGAAATTATTATATATAATAGAGAGGTTTCGAATAGTATTGATTTACAACATCATTTCTTGTTTTTTTTTTTAATTTTATTCTATTAAATTCACTAGTTTCCATTTCATAAATATGGATTTATGTATATTACAAATATTTGATAATAAATTTCAAATTAAAATAAAATAATATTTTTAAAAACTAAAAATTTAATTAGTATTCAATTTTTTGGTATCGAACCTTAGGCAAACACAGAATTTCTGAAATATGGCTTTACCACTTTACCACTGTACCATTTACCATTTAAATATTTAAAATAATTTTACATATGAAATAATTTTATGAGTTTATTTATATTGTATATTCAAATGTTTTAACTTTATTAAAACTAGTATTGTTATTCATTTATTTCAAGATTTCTAATGGTATTTACTTGTCTTGCCTTGAGCGTTTTTTCAACAATCGAGGAATACGAGAAGGACGCTCTGTACATTTTGTTTAGAATGGAGATTTTGGTTGTTGTGTGGTTCACCATGGAGTTCTTCTTGCGGTAAGTAAATTTGAAATATCTTCATACATTTCATACATTTTGAAATATTAAATTGCAAAATAAAATGTAGAAAAAAAATGAAAATTAATTTCAGTGAATAAGTCATTAAAACTTTTGGAAATATATTTTTGGAGTGCATGGCATAGTTTGTAAAATAATTTTCCTCTACTGAGCACTGGACAAACTTTCATTTCGTTTACGACTATTGTATCTAATCAAGAAAAGAAACAGTTTTGCAATTATCAAACATTTTCCAATTATTTTTTTATGTTCCGGAACTTATAGTTTTTAATAGTTTATAATAAGTTTGTTAATTAAAACACTCTTAACATCAAATATCGTGTTGTGTATTTCCAAAAATTTTGGACTAATTGGATGTTTCTGAACGTAATGGCCATTGACAATTATTGACAAACATGAAAGAAGATAAACAGACTTGAAATAGAGAGCAAAAAATGGAAAGATTCATATTAAAAGCTTTTCTATAAATAATTAAGAATTAGTTTAATGTGTTTCAGAATTTAGTTTCAGCGGCAATTTAATAATAATGAAATATTTACTTATTTATAATTATGAGTTAACAAGAATTAGCAATAATATATAATAATTCTTATCTTAAATTGAAAATTTAATAACCACTAACAGTTTAAAGTAATCCCTAGACTTATGGTTGCCTTGAATTAATATAAACACTCCTAATTTGAAATAAATACTTATAATATTAGAAAACTTC